GTGTTTTCTGAATTGTTATTTTGTTTTTTAGACTTGCATTTGCGTTTGTAATTTGTTATTTTGTTTTCAGAATTGATTTGCTTTGCACTTCTCGGCCACCATAAGATCATACCGCAACCCAACTATAACAGGTAAAAGTTGGAAATGGAGGGTTTCAAATAAAATGTAGGCCTGTATGAACAATTACAACATTTACTGAGTTGTCTTCTGAATGGTCTTTATTTATTTTGAAGCACCCTCACCCAAAAGCATTTTAATTCATTACAATATAACTTACATCACAATACCTTTTTAAAAGGCAAGATACATTTGTACATTTGCATCTTCTTGTGGAAGATGTTGTTTTATTTGTATGTTTCGTCTCGTATTAAATATGAATTATTAAATAGTAATATTCTGAGGTAAAACGTGGGGTTTGTACTTTTTGTGTCGGGTTAATGTGGATGTCTTTAGTAAAAACGCGCCATTTGTACCTTTTCACTCCTGTTCCAGCCGACGTGTCTAGCAGCGCCTGAGATAAATTTTCGCGCCCTTCAGTAAACTAGCTCGCGCGGTCTCCTGGGTAACGGTGCGTATGGCAACCACTGTAAACAACGCGCCCTGTCACACCGAGGTGAAGAGCGAACAAAACAGCTATGGCTTTCTGCAACACCGAGTATTTCAACCATATTGGGAATATTCAAAAGAGCATGCACGAACGGTAAGAGCATGGTGTACATTTTTTTTTCTTTCATCTTAGATAGATGCTGTATTGTCTAGAAATAAACATTAGGAAATTTAAGTGGGCCTTGAATGAGACAGCGCAGTAGATTTCAGCTCTCAACGGAATGTAGCTGTCGAGCTCGGTGAGACGAGCGATAACTAGTGGGAGTGCGCTGAACTACTCATTATAGCGTTTAAAATAACAACTAATTTATTAATAATCTGTGTGTGGTAGTGAGCTCAAGTAGTATGTCAGATGTTTGCTTATCTGTCTTTTTTCAGTATTAAACAAGTTCAAAAATTAACATTAGCTTTCACAGATTATTGCTTTTCAGGATGACAGATTTGTATACTGTATCACAATATTTGGTCGCTTTCTTTTTGTGAGAAATGTAAAGTTATACTGTATTATAAAGTTAGTATATTTGGTAACGCTATCTGGTTATGTAATAAATGTAATCTGTTTAAACTATAGGCCTCTATGTAATAAAATCTATTTAAGCTATGTATTTCATAAGATATGTTTAAATGCTACACATGAACTCTGAAAGCTGCAGGTGTATTAAGATTCTTTTTTTCTGTATTTAGGGAGAGAGGGAGACATGAGCTGGAGGAAAAACTGTTTGCCTACTTAAGATCAGAGGAAAGATTGTAAGTATAAAAACATTAGAACCTTACAAAAAATATTAATTGTAAATATCTGATCAAGAAACAAACAGAATTATATAAAATATATAATGATTTATATTATCCTACACCAGCATCCACATAGAATCCATAAAAATAAAACCATTGTAAATATGTAGACAAAAGGCAGATAGCTTGATGAATATGGATTTCACCTCATGTAGCTAACAGCACATGTTTTGATGTCAAGTCAAGTCAAGTCACCTTTATTTATATAGCACTTTTAACAATACAGATTGTGTCAAAGCAACTGAACAGCATTAATTAGGAAAATAGTGTCAATAATGCAAAATGACAATAGTAAACACAAATTTTTCAGTTAAAGACAGTTCATCATTGAATTCAGTGATGTCAACATCCAGCTCAGTTTAAATAGTATCTTTGCAATCAAGTCAACGGTATCGCTGGAAATGAAGTGTCCCCAACTAAGCAAGCCAGAGGCGTGTGAATGTGCATTGCTATGTAGGACTGTATTCAGGGCAGAAAATAAATGTTTATCATCTTTCACTATGTACAGTATTATATTTATTGTGCTTTCATTTTATTACTTTGAGTAATTATTTGTCATTTGTATTTTTTATTATTATTATTTCGATGAGTTTATTTTGTAGTGACAATTTTTGATGCTAACGTTACTTCAATTGTTTTATTGTTTCACTGATATAATATAATAGGCATTCTCCAATAAAAATGTTTATCTCAGGACAAATAAGTAGACTACGCACTCATTAATGATTTTGTGATACTTACTGTGTCATCTGTCTCTGTTTAAGTGCTTGAGAACAGTTTGTTTTTATGATGGCTCAATTAAATGCATTTATAAAAATAAAGAATTTTGATATGAGGCCATGACGGTCAAGGGTATGTGAGAGGTTAGTAGACCAGCATTTATCATTCATTTTAAAATTTCAGCCATCATTATCCATTTTCGCCCTTTGCTAGTCACAAAACTCCATCTTAGCTGTGGAGAATCCATTAGTACTACTGTAAAGTGGCCCTTGACAAATATGCAGTGTTTTAGTTTGTCTTGTACTATGCACAGTAACGAGCACTTAGTTATACTAATAAGCTAGCATTAACCTATTTATAGTAATGTTTGACCTATTTGTAACAGGTCTCTATATTTATTTCCATAAATAATAGACAAAGTCAGTGCAGCCTTTTCTTAAAAGAGAGAGAGAGAGAAGCAAAGCTGTCCGTTTCATGTCTGTCTCCTGCTCACAGGACTAAGTTGAAGTGTGCCAAGATGCGCTGCTATTACAAGGAGCTGCGCGAGAGAGAGCAGCAAGCAAAGACACGCAACCTTGAGCTTCTTGGGAATGTGGAGAACTTGGCATCAAAAATGAAAGAATTCTCCATTGATTGTAGCAGGCTGCTTCAAAAGAGGGTAACAACCTTGGGCAGCTTCATCTGTCCCAAAATCCATCATATGCGCTTCTTAAAACAGTACTGACTCTGTGTGTATTGTTGTTTCACAGTTTTTATCATTGAAGATGTACGTTTGATTTGGTTTAGAGTAGGGCTGGACGATAGGGCCAACATTTATATCATGATATATTTCTTAATTTCGGTCGATACGATATAATTCCGATATCGATATCAACACTATTAAAAAAAAGCCTCGTAAAAACTGCCAAGAATGCCCACAACAGATGTCTGTGCATACAAACTTATGAAAAATGAATTTGCCAAGTCTTTGACACCTCATATAAAACCATATAATATTTTAGAAGAAAAAAAAATGTTCACCTTTTATTTGTATTTAGCCTTCATACAAACAAATGTGAAATCACTGTCAAATAATCTTCTCAGGCTCACCTAATTAATATTAATATATTTAACTTCAAACTATAGGCTAAAATATACTACCAGTCAAAAGTTTTTGAACAGTAAGATTTTTGATGTTTTTAAAGAATCCTCTTCTGCTCACTAAGCCTGCATTTATTTGATCTAAAATACAGCAAAAACAGTAACATTTTGAAATATTTTTACTATTTAAAACAAAGTGACGTGACATGTGGCCAAGTATGGTGACCCATACTTGGAATTAGTGCTCTGCATTTTAAGTGCTCTCCATCCAAAGTGCACACACACAGCAGTGAACACACACCCGGAGCAGTGGGCAGCCATTTTTGCTGCGGTGCCCATGGAGCAGTTGGGGGTTCGGTGCCTTGCTCAAGGGCACCTCAGTCGTGGTATTGAAGGTGGAGAGAGCACTGTACATTCACTCCCCCCACCAACAACCCCTGCCGGTACGAGACTCGAACCCGCAACCTTTGGCTTACGAGTCCGACTCTCTGACCATTAGGCCACGACTTCCCCCATGGTAACTGCTTTCTATTTGAAAATATTTTAAAATGTCATTTATTCCTGTGATTTCAAAGCTATATTTTTAGCATCATTACTCCAGTCACACAATCCATCAGAAATCATTCTAATATTCTGATATACTGCTCAAAAATCATTTATTATTATGTTGAAAACAGCCGAGTAGAATTTTTTCAGGTTTCTTTGATGAATAGAAAGTTCAGAAGAACAGCATTTATCTGAAATAGAAATCTTTTGTAACATTATAAATGTGTTTATCATCACTTTTGATCAATTTAAAGCATCCTTGCTAAATAAAAGTATTAATTTCTATAATTTCTTTCCAAAAAAAAAAAATCACACTGACTCCAAGCTTTTGAATGGAATAGTGCATAATGTTACAAAAGCTTTGTATTTCAGATAAATGCTGATCTTTGGATCTTTCTATTCATGAAAGAAACCTGAAAAAAAAAATGTACTCAGTTTTAAATATTGATAATCAGCAAATCGGCATATTAGAATGATTTCTGGATCATGTGACACTGAAGACTAGAGTAATTATGCTAAAAATGCAGCTTTGATCACAGGAATAAATTGCATTTTAAAATATATGCAAATAGAAAGCAGTTATTTCAAATAGTAAAAAAATATTTCAAAATTTTACTGTTTTTGCTGTACTTTGGATCAAAAAAATGCAGGCTTGGTGAGCAGAAGAAAATTCTTAAAAAAAAAAAACATTAAAAATCTTACTGTTCAAAAACAAATGTGCTTTAGCCAGTATAAAGTGTATGAAAAGTGCTCTGAGTTGCTGCAGAAAACAAACAAACAAAAAACAACAAAAACATGTTGCTGGAGAGGGGCTTATTGAAACTGCAAACTGATTGTCTGCCAGCAGGAGGCGCTTTGAGAGCAGCAGAAACAGTGGTTTCCCCGGTAACGGCTGTAATCAAATCAGCTCCGCTCATGAACGCTTCTTTATCAGATCAAATGAAAATGCCATCGAAACCTTTCTGAAGACAGTCCTTCCCCTTCAAAGATACATTCATATAAAACACCCGCGACGTGTTTTGATTTTGAAACGTGCAGTGCTCATGTTTATTCAACTTAGTCAAATGCAGTGTTGGGGAGTAACTAGTTACATGTAACGGCATTACGTAATTTAATTACAAAATAAACGTAACTGTAATCAGTTACAGTTACTAAGAAAAAATGTGTAATTAAATTACAGTTACTTATGAAAATGTTAACGATTACAAAGGGGATTACATTTGAATATTTACACACATCCACATACAGATTTAATTGATTTCGTTCCAAACCATTGTTAGATGCAGTGCTTCCTGTAGTTATGCAAAGATTTCTTATCTATTAACTATTTCTTATTATTTTAAATCTGCATTGAACTTCAGATCAATCTCAAAGTAAAAGGTGGTACTAAAGTCTGATTTTGTGGTGGATGTGTTCAAATGTGATCATCTTAATTCAAATGATGAAGGATTGTGAAAGTCTGACAGTGTTGAGCACTACTGTAAGGTTAACCCTGCATGGTGTAAATGTTTGAAAATGATTAACAGTTGCAAATAAACATTCATTAGAAATTTAGAAAAGTAATCAAAAAGTAATCAAAAGTAATCAGTTACATTACTTTAATAAAGCAATTGAAAAAGTTACACTACTATTACATTTTAAATAGGGTAACTTGTAATCTGTAACCTATTACATTTCCAAAGTAACCTTCCCAACACTGGTCAAATGCCACAAATAAATCAATGTATGGGAAACACTGGTAATGTATATCGGAAATGTGTTTAAAAATCATATCACCGCTATTGAAGAAAATTATATCGTGATACATATTGATATTGAATTATTGTCCAGCCCTAGTTTAGAGCAAATACATCAAATCAAACTGTCGCTTTGGCAGCCCAGCCTGTCTTTTGGTTGTTATTTTATTTTGTGTTATTCTCATGTCAGAACACATGTTTGTGTTGTTCTGATTGTAGACGTGAAATGAAATGTGAAGTCTTGTGTGTTATACTTACCATGATATGCAGTGACCCAAATGACAGCTGCCCGGGAGCAACAATTTTAGTGTAGTCTGAATATTTGATTTGTATTTCCCAAAACTAAGAGATTCTTTTTTTTCCCACAGACATACAGTATATTCTGAGCCTCAATTAGACCATTGCCATAATCCTGTAATTGTCTGTCTAATTGTCTTCCAGTGTTTAAACATTCGCACTTATTGTTGTTTGGGAACAATCATAAACACTCCAGCACTCATTTATCACTGCACACAAATGAGAAAAAGAAAACAACAGCTCCGTCAGATTGTCACTTAAAACTGAACAGTGCTCCACAGCTTAATATCAAATTAGACAAATTGTTTAATTACACCACCACAAATTAATCGCCCTGTATTCAGATAGTGAAGTGCCTCTGAATTTGCCTTTTTGTGAAAAGAACCCGTTTTCCTACTTTTTGTGTGTGTGTGTGTGTGTGTGTGTGCAAATGTGTTTGTTATATTTTGTTTTGTTGCTGAAATGGTTGCTTTGAATTGCAGTAGGAAAAGATACCTGCTAATTTAGCTGCCAGTCAAGGAGTATCACTTTGATTTTTATTACACTAAATTGATCCTTATTACTTAATTGCTCAAATTCACACCATGACCTCAAAACATCAAATTCAACTCTAAAACACTCTTTCTCTTTCCCTCGCTGACGTTTTTTCTTCCCCACCCAGATTTTAACAGTGCTAAGATTTGTCTGCTTGTAGCTGTGTTATCACGTCTAAAAGGGGTGTAAACGGTTTGTTACTCTGGTCCCTTTTGGGAGTGCAGACATTGTCTTACGAGAATGAAGTGGGAGGTTGGAGGTAATCCCAGTGCCCTCATCTCTGCCACTGGTTAACTCGCCAAACTGATTAAGAGCCTTGGCAGGCACTATTAAGGGCACTCACAAAGGAATACACACACTGATTAGTGCTACGTTTAGGGGCATAAACATATTTTTCTCCTCCGCTGCTTTGTTTGTAATATTTAATGAAAAAGGAGGTTATAGATTCGAGTAAATTGCAATTTCCTGTGTACTTGTGTCTTGCAACTGCAGTCACTACAGATTTTTTTTTTACTAGAACTAGGGTTATAAAGCAAATATTCTTGTCGTTTGCATTGTTGAAAATGATCTATGTTAGTAATGATTTGACTTGAATTAATTTCAGTTGGAGTACAATAATCATATTACCAGACTGAAGAAAGACAGGAAGAAAATGGGGAGCAGGGGGGAATCAGAAGCGGACGAGGTAAGAGAAAATTATCATGTCATCTATGGAAATCACAGTTCAGTGGGGAATTTACAAAGCTATCTGTGTGCCTTTGATAAAACTGCAGTGCTGTGATGGGATCCAATGGAAGTGTGTCGTTTTTTCAAAAGAAGAGAGTTGAGAGTTGTAGAGAAAAATACCACAACCATTATTCAGCTCAGCCTCCCTCTTCAGGAGACACTTTTGACAGTTTATATGGGGTATCAGTGTTCAAAGGCCACAATTAATTTATAATCAAAAGCAAATTGGAAAGTGCTTGAAGTAATTACTGTTTTACTCAAATGACTTCAAATGGCTGCTTTGGTTTAACAAAGGAGTATCACAGTCTTAAAACAAAATGATATTACGCATTTTTAAAAGGCTATTTAAAATGAGAAAAAAAAAATAAAAAGAATGAAAAAGAGTATTGCGGAAGCCACTGGCAGCTAATGCAATCCAACTGACCGTCTGTCAGTTTTGTCTGCAGTGTTTATTTCACATCATGTGTCTGACAGCTAAAACAATATGCGTCCGAACTCTTTCTGTCAGTCCCTCGAATAAAAGTCGCTGTTATGTAGATTCCTCGGCGGCGGTCGTGAGGCTGTTCATTTTTCTCGTCGTATCTGTAGTGCCGCAGGTGTCTAATCCTAGCTGCTTTGCCTGCACTGACGATGTAGTTCAAGCCCGTGGCTGTAGCTTTCCCTCTCTTCAAGCGACTCGAGCTCTCTCGGATGAAATGTGGAAGACAGCTCATAATGACTTGGAGCATTCCGTCTAGAGCAGTCACTTGTGACTGTGCCGCATCCCCCCCTCCCTCCAGCCTGCCGATATTGTAATGAGCAGAGATGGGAGGAATCACTCCATTATGCATAGGCGCCACCACTGGCTGTGTGCATGTCCCCGAGGCTGCAGCATTCATTAAGGGAAGCTTACCAGCCTGAAAGCTGGGAAGCCATGATAACGGGATATGATTTTCATATTTAATATATTCCTTGGAAGAGCAGGCGCGTGCCGCAGATTGATAGAAGAATCAATTGCTACTTTAGCGAAACACTTTCTACTTTGCCCTGCAGCTAGCGATGGAATCACTCAGCCAAAAAATTAACTTTTCCTCTCACTCCATTTCTTTTTTTTTTTATTTTTTACTTCTACACTGGATCTGCCAGACAGACTGCATGGTTTACAGTGGATGTTATTAAGCAGTTAACGGGTTGGTATTTAAGACCCTTATCAGAAAAGAAACAGAAGCCATGTTTTTTTTTTTTTATTATTATGTGTTGATTTATTTTTTTCTGTACCCATCCGCCACTCTTCCTCCGTAGTGCGGTATTTCTGTCATGAAACAGAGTTTAGGAGCATAGGATTGTTAATAAGATTAAAAGTTAAGACACTGATCTCAGTGCACTCAGCTGAACAGACAGTTGGAAGAAAATCTAACCTTGACCAAAAGAAATCCTAGTCAGTCTGTAAAAAGCCACAAAAATGATACCTTGAAATGTTTTGGATTAAAGCTTATTTGAAAAGAAGCCACTGTAACCTGAATTGTCAGGGTTGAGTTTTGAGGCCAAGGACTAGTGGAAGTAAAGCAATGAGAGAATGGCATATCAGAAATGTAGCTCCCACTTGCTGGCAATAAGGTATCCTTGACCACCCAGTTCATTTTAGCACTTTCTAAACCTCTTGACTCGGTGTACTTGACATGCCTTTTTTGTTTTCTGCAGTTTTACTTCCTTTCATTTTCATGAATATAGAAAAGTAGTATATCACATTTTTACAGATATATTTGAAAAATATTTAACTTTTTTACATTTGTCAAAATATTAACAAACTCTTCCCATGGGTATTCAAAAGGACATGCCACAAACAGTCAATTCTCCTCAAAATGTTAGCTTACCCAAAAATGAAAATTTTCTCACCTTTGTGTTTTACCAAACCCGTATGACTTTCTTTTCACTGTTGTAAACAAAAGGAGATGACATAATTTTCACAATATACAGTGGAATCAAATAGGGAATGACGCTGAGGATTTAAAAAATGATGAAAAGCACCATGAAAAAAAAAAAGCATGCAGTATTCCAAATCATAACTGGTTGCTATATACCACTTTTAATATGTTGTGTCCCACAGGAAAAAAGAAAATCATACAGGTTTAGAAACAGTTCTATTTTAGAGTCATTTATATACTTTTGTAGTTTTTGTTAATATTTAAATACAATTTTTTTATTGTAGTTAAGGTTTTAGCAATGTTTTTTCTCCTTCATTTTTATTAGTTTTTTCCCTTATATTTTCAAAGGTTTTAGTTTTCAAATTAGCTTATTTAGTTTTAGTTATTTTCAGTACTTCAACTTAAACTAAACAAAAATAAGTTGGCAACTAGTACATTTTTTAAATATGTATGTATATATATATATATATATATATATATATGTATGTATGTATGTATTTCGGTTAATGTTTGTTTTATTTCAATTTTTGGTTTTAGTTTTAGTTTGGAACAACATGAAGGTAAGTAAATGATGAGATTTTTTTTTTTGTTGTTTTTTTGCGTGAATTGCCATTAACTCCTATCATCCACTACTTACATCTTCCATATATATTGTTTGACTTGCGCAGCTCCCGAGCAGGTTACAGCTTCCGAGCACACAGGGATCATCACAGAGTGCTGTCATCTTCACGGGTCACCAGACCTCCAATGGCTCATCAAGAAATGATGGCGTCACAACCACACGTTCACCATCTCAGACAGAGCTGATACCTAATCATCCTTCACTCTGTCCTCTACAAAGTGGCCTTTGTTTGCACTCCCATGTTTCAAAAGCCAGTGGCACTGCCATTTCATCTGATGACATTCTAAACTCAGGTTATTTCCTTGAGGGCAGACATTTGAGTGATGTGCATGAAAAGCAGATGGAGTCTGATTGGGATGTCTCTCAGAGGACAGGAGAGCAGCATAGATGGAAAGAACTTAACTCACCTCACATGACCCTGAAAGAAGCCGAAGTGTCCTTTCGATCTATGACCGCGAAGAAGCCTGCAGACATTGTGTCATTAGGGAGGTGCCTGACCCGCAGTCCTTCCTCAGATACCACTGACTCAAGAGATTCCTCACAATACGTGAACTCTGGAGGTGAGGATGAGGAAGTGTCTGCAGAGGATGAAGGTGACTCTGCACCAAGACATCAAGATCTTTCAGGTTTGAATTTTTCTGCTCAATTAGCTGCAATTGTACATTGTGATTAAGCAGATTTATTGATATGACTTGACTTTTTTTTTTTTTTTTTGATTAGCCCATTTTAAGAATTATACTTATGATCTTCTACACATTTCAGATTACACTAGCAGCAGACATCACGCTTTGAGAAGAGATGCTGTAATTCAAGAACAGCATGTAATATCCTTTCAAACCAAAGGTGGTGCACACAAGCAGGTCAACACACAGGAATCTGGAAGGCCTGACTCTCTCGAATCCCCCAACAGGTAAAGTTGCTAGGATTGTAGGACTAATTTCTTCCTTCTGAACACAGCCAGAAACTCAGTGAAAGACAGTAAAGACTGGCCCTACTGAATGTTTGCTACTCCAAAATAGATTTCTCATTAGCAATGAGATCACAGTATTGTATTCTCTAATCTAAGTTATCGCTTGTCTCTTATCCTGTAGATGTCTCTGATTATTAGAAGAAAGATTGTGATTTTTAAGTCACAATGAAATGGAAATAGCGATGAGTGAAATGCATTATCGAAAAAAAAATGTAGGGCAGGGTCTTGGTACTGTACTCCAGTGTTGAGTGGATTTTGGAACTTGGACGTTGAACTCAAATAAATAGATGCAAACTTGTGGTTGATTATGGAGGCCCAGAGTTTAAGCAGACTGAATGTTTGAGATGTCCGGCATACTTCAGCAGAGAGAAATGTGCCATTTTCACTGGAAGATTGAGTTTTATGAGGTTTATGAGAACATTATGAGGTCCAAAAAAAAAAAAAAAGAAACATACATTGATGAATCGTTCACAAAAATATTTTTAATATGCATTTACAAAATATAATGGCTGAATTTTCATTTCACACCGACTTTAAATTGTACATTAACTTTAGATGTAAATGCCAGATTTAAAGTTTGCTAAATATTCTTATTGCATTGCATGCCCTGACTCACTACAAATAAGTAAAAATTATTTTATTATTTTGTGTATATATATATATATATATATATATATTAGGGGTGTAACGATACACGTATTCGTATTGAACTGTTCGGTACGAGGCTTTCTGTTCGGTAAGCATTACAAACCGAACGATTCGATTCGTTGGACTAATCCTATTGCATTTGGAAAATAAAACAGCTTAAAGTGTGTGAAATATAATGTTTTCAGTGCCACTGCACTCAACAAGGCAGCCCAAACGACGCAACAGCCCCCAAAGAAAAACACACTATTCCAGTCAGTCATAGGCTGAACTAGATCGTTCATTGCAATATGGCTAGTAACTAGGTATATATATATATATATTTATATATATTATTGCACTGTGCTTCGTTTGCAAAACAATCTGTAGTCAAATGTTCCAAACAAACATAATCCTCCAGTGAGATGCCCATTTGGAAAATAAAAGAGCTTAAAGTGTGTGAAATATAATGTGCTCAGTGCCACTGTGCTCAACAAGGCAGCCCAAACGACGTAACAGGCAATGTGCTGTCTGCCCAGTGGCGTAACGTTAGCGGACGAGCACGCAGGACACGCACTGCGAAAGGCCCCGCGATAATCTCCCCTTGCTGGGTTGTGTCGAAAGACGATGATCTTGTATCGACGATAGCCAGAGATATTGTCAAAAACATCAATTGTTGGCAATATTAAGATATTTGGCATTTCCAAATAATGTAGACCTGTTACATTCTTATTTTTATTAGGCCTAATATTATTATTATGAAGTTACTTTTATTATTAAATTAAAATTAGTACAATTAATTTGCCCCGCAATAATTACCAAATAACTGACGTGCTGTTAGGATAACAAAAGATTAAGCTATATATGTCCTCCTCAATTAAAATGTTTTAAAAAAAGGTATTTTAAAACAGGTCTATTATACAATGAATTATAGGCCTATGATTAAAATATTAACACTTCAGCCATCAATAAAAATCAATGAAATAAAAAGCTTTTATTTCAAGCAC